AACCTGCTGGTGCACTCCAGCAGTTTAGGTTAGTTTCTTCGAAATATAATATGTATATATATATATGTATGTATGTATATAGGGTTGGGGGATAAGCTTCTAGGTTCAAGGTTTCCTCGGCGGGCTTCGGGATCTGGGGTTTAGGGGTTTCAGGCTTTAGGGTCTAGGGATTAGGGTTTAGGGTTTCTTGGTGGCTTCTTTTTGGCTACCTCTGAGACGGGTTTAGGGGTTTAGGGCTTCGGTTGTCGGGTTTGGGCTTATAGGGCCCTAAATAAACCCTAAACCCGAAAACCTAAAGGTTGTCGGGTTTGGGCTTTAGGGTATAGGGTCCCGACGGACTCCAGAAACCCCAAAACCGGAACCCCAAAATCGTACCCCTCTAGGGCCCTAAATAAATCCTAAACCCGAAACCCTAAAGGTTGTCGGGTTTGGGCTTTAGGGTATAGGGTCCCAACGGACTCCAGAAACCCCAAAACCGGAACCCCAAAAACCCCCTTCTCACCTCGGAGCTCGGCGAAATTCGGGATGTGGGGATCTGGGGTTTGGGGGTTTAGGGCTTCGGTTGTCGGGTTTGGGCTCTAGGGCCCTCAATAAACCCTAAACCCGAAACCCTAAAGGTTGTCGGGTTTGGGCTTTAGGGCTTAGGTTCTCGGGTTTGGGGTTTAGGGCTCAGGTTCTCGGGTTTGGGGTTTAGGGCCCTAAACCCTAAACGTTTACCCTAAACCCCAAACCCTAAAGGTTGTCGGGTTTGTCTTTAGGATAATTAGGTTCTCGGGTTTGGGGTTTAGGGCCCTAAACCCCCTAACGTTTACCCTAAACCTTAAACCCTAAAGGTTGTCGGGTTTGGGGTTTAGGGCTTAGGTTCTCGCGATCGGGTTTGGGCATTGGGATATTAGGTTCTCGGGCTTGGGGTTTAGTTCCCTAAACCCCTTAACATTTACCCTAAACCTTAGACCCTAAAGGTTGTCGGGTTTGGGCTTTAGGGCTTAGGTTCTCGGGTTTGGGGTTTAGGGTTCAGGTTCTCGGGTTTGGGGTTTAGGGCCCTAAACCCTAAACGTTGACCCTTGACCCTAAACCCGAAACCCTAAAGGTTGTGGGGTTTTTATCCCTCTCGCATGGCTAAGGATCTATGCCCACAAGCGAGGAAGCCTGGACTACCAAGTTGACTGGTGCACCTTGTCGGGTTTGGGGTTTAGGGTTTAGGTTCTCGGGTTTGGGGTTTCGGGCTTTAGGGCTTTTGGGGTTTTAGGGTTCCAACGGACTCCAGAAACCCCAAAACCGGAATTAGGGCTTTAGGGCATTTTGGGTCTAGTGTTTAGGGTTTAATTTAGGGGTCGTTTCGGACAATCGATCCCTGAGCGCTTGCGTTCTGCTCAAAGTCGCAGTGTCAGCCCAAAGGCGTTTCGAGGGCCAGTATACGATGCCAAGCTCGTTTGCTCGGTGATGCGTGCGACGTCCGCGAGTCGGACGATGATCAGTGGCAGGTGTTGACATCATTGATGGCACATCGAATCGGAACCGTGTTCTGGCCGATTATCGCCATAGCCACTGGACTCGTGTCAGTACATGCCCACATCAGGAGCGATGCCCCGAATCTTTGCCAACATGCCCAAGCATGCAAGTTCGAAGGTCATACGTGGCTTAGCTTATTAGGGTCGATGCTATTAATTAAACACCCACGATATACTTGGAAAGGTCGAGGCCCTCTGAACGATTTTGGAATTCCCACTGGCTCGATCAATGCAAGCCCAAAGCCCAAAAGGTTCCCCTGTTTAGGGTTTAGGGTTTAGGGATTGGCGGCTTCCTATAGGCTACCTCTGAGGCGGGGATCCCAAACTCGCACCCTAGGCCTGAAGCCAAAACCTTAAACCCCAACGTTATATTGCTGGCCTCCAATCGAAGGTCGCTGGATCCGAAGCGGCACATGGGCCTTGGCTGATAGGTAGTACATGTATGCTAATTCGGGATCTGGGGTTTAGGGGGAGCTTGGGGATCTGGGGTTTGGGGGTTTAGGGCTTTAGGGCTACTTTAAATTTAGGGTGTAGGGTTTAGGGTTTTAGGGTTCCAACGGACTCCAGAAACCCCAAAACCGGAACCCCAATCTCACCTCGGCGAGCTTCGGGATCTGGGGTTTAGGGCTTTAGGGTCTAGATATAGGGTTTAGGGTTCCTTGGCGGCTTTGAGGCCGGATTGCCAACGGACCCCAGCCCCTTTAACCGGAACCCCAAAATCGCACCCTAGGCCTGAAGCCAAAGCCTTAACTCCTATCCTTTCCAACACACTGAAACCCTAGGGCCTGAAATCTTGAGAATGAAGTGTTCCAATGCAGCTGTAGGGTTTCGGGATGTAGATTCTGGGTGGTGTTGGACCAGTCGGTTGGCATTCGCTTGGAACGTCCGGATGAAGGCTTCATTATTTGGAGCTCCAGGGTTCGGGTTTAGGGTTTCTAAGGTTTGGGGCCCCCCTTGGTTGGCAATTAAGCTCGGGTTTATTAGCTACCATTTAACACCCTGCAACTCTGCAACCGAGATACAGCACCAGTTCCGGATCTGGTGGCCATGGTACATGTACATGTACATGTGCTATATAGGGTTTAAGGGTTTAGGGGTGTAGGGCTCCAGGGTTCTAGGGTTTAGGGATTAGGGTTTTAGGGCTTGAGGGTATTGGGTTTAGGCTTTAGGGTATATGGGGTTTAGGGTTTTAGGGTTTAGGGTTTTGGTATATGAGCTATAGCTGAGGCGACTCGGCAATGCAAACGTGGACTTCGCATTCTGCTGGCATCTGCTGCTGGCATCAGGTGATGAGGCGGAGTCCCAAAGCGCCATCCCCTCTATCAAGGATTTAATATAATACCCAATGCAACCCTACTAGTACTATTCGCACATATGTTTTTGATGGTATTGTCGACCCTCCCAACATAGTGTAGACTACTAGCACTATATATATATATATATATGTACCTAATTAAAGCCGCTACCTAGGTGGGCTCCACACACACAGGACTCTTTCCTCAAGATCGGAGGACCGCACATCCCAATTGCACAGTGCATTGCAGCATGTGTATCACACGTCTGTCCTATGCAGGGTAATTGGAGTAGGCTCCTACGGGCCTTAAGTGAAGCAACTTATCCGTGCACAACAGCAGTGGAACCACCCCTGCGATATGTACATATCGCACTAGTCCTATGCAACGTCGACCAGCGAGGCCCTTGGTAACTACTCGTTAATTCGAAAACTCAGGCATCAGGAACGAGTTCGGCGCTTTCAACCAGTCAGCCAAGCCTGCGACAGAGAATGTTCGTGTGTAGCATGGGTTCATCATCGATCGACCATTAATGTGTAGCCCTGGCACTTTCAACTGAATCCCTCAATCCTGCAACCCCGCTCACACTGCAAGCCCGACCTGCACTTCAGGGTCGACATCCGCCGACTGGATCCAGCCGGCCACGAACTTTGCCAGCTGCCACCTGCAAGCAATATATAGCTTGCCGAGCAGGCTAGGGTCATATGCCATGTACATGCAACATCATCATTAGCATAGTGCAGCATAGCTACACATGTCGAAGCTCGCCGCGGGACCACTTCACGCTTGAGCCCCTTTTCTTGTCCACCTGGGGTCGGGCTGAATTATATTGTTTAATGATCATATATACAGCTCCGGAGAATGCGGAAAGGATCGTACAGGTTGTACCAAGTAGCTTTCACCCCCGGGCATGGAACCCAGCTGTTGTTCACATAAAATGCTTTGTTATTCAGCAGCACTGTGATGCTCTTGCACTTCTTCGGATCCAGCTGCGGCGGGGCGGGGACGACGTAGCTCCTGAGAGCATAATTTAAAGCTAGCTTGCAGTCAGAGCTACGGTTTAAGGTTTAGGGGTTAGGGGTGTAGGTTTTGAGGTTTGGGGAAGTAAGTAGTATGTGGCGAAAGGTGTAGGTTTTCAGGTTTGGGGAAGTAATTATTATTAGTATGTGGCCTGGCGAAACTTGACTCTATCGTTTCTCTAAATGCACGTGCCGCTAAGAGTGTTTATAAGGGTTCTGGGTTATTAAAAGCTCAGCGATTTAGGGTTTAAGGGTTTAAGGTTTAGGGGTTTAGGGTACCCTCGTTAATTAATATAATATGTCGCATGCAGGCAAGCATCAGGGTCTTGAGTTCATCGGGGTCAACGGGGCCGGATGCAGGGCAGCAGTCACTAACGCCGGCTTGCACATTGAGCCATCGCAAATTCTCCTTGGCTCTTGCCTGCTCTTTAGCACGTTTGGCTGCCTGCAGAGAGTTCGGGGCTTCACCAGCTGCAGGTGCTGCAGCTAACCCAGCAGGCGGATCGGGGATAGCAGCATTCTCACCCGCAAGGCCCGACTCCTCGGACACCATAGCATTCTGAACCGCATGCGGGCCCGACTCCTCGGACACGATAGCATTCTCAATCACAGGGCCCGACTCCTCGGACACGATAGCAGGGCCCGACTCCTCGGACACGACAGCATTCTCACCCGAAGGGCCCGACTCGTCCGCGGACAGGATAGCATTCTCACTCGAAGGGCCCGGCTCCTCGGACACGATAGCATTCTCAACTGCAGGGCCCGACTCCTCGGGCACGATAGCATTCTGAACCGCAGGGCCCGATTCCTCAGGCACGGTAGCATTCTCAATCGCAGCGCCCGACAAGGACAGCATAGTATCCTCAGACACCATATCTGACTCGACAGCAGTAGCAGGCTAATCAAATCGACAGCCACACCGCCCGACCCGAACACCCAAGCAGCAATATTTAGCTGAGCTGCACATGCATGACCAATCATGTCGACGTCCACATCGACAGCAGTACTAGCATCGACAGCTACACCGCTCGATGCTGCCACATTGGCAGCCACATCGCTCGACTCCTCGGGAATAATTTAAAGCACCTGAGGTATCCCAGCAACCAGCCCTAGAGCAGTATAAGCCAAGGTGCGACACCGGCCGGCTCCTGAACTCTGGCTCGCTTGGCTTCGCCATCGAGCTCATCTTCTCCGTGTCGCTTCTTGGGATTCTTGGCCGCCAGCTTTTTCTGGGCTTGCTCCTCGAAAGTAAGGCTTCTTGAGGTTTGTTCAATTAATAAAGATCAAGCTCAACTCGATGCTGCAGCTGTGCAACCAACCCCCTGCCATGTCCTCACGAAGTTGCCGTCTCAAAGCAGCTTGCTCGTCCCGAATCTCTCCTGATGAAACCTCCAGGCTCATAGCAACCTCGAAATTGAAGGGCAAGTTGCCCTTCGGTAGAAGTGGCTGCCGGTCCTCGCTTTAAATCACATGCACGTTCGAACTGCGATCATGATGGAGCATATTAAATTAAAGATCATGCACCTTGAAGGCTCCATTGGTGCCGGTGTTTCGGTTGCGAGAGACCGTCACCGTAGCCTCAGTCGATTTGTACGGTCACTAGCCGGTTCATGAACGTTGAATGCCAAGGTACATCGACCTCGACGTCAAGATCTGAGAGCTTCGTCGCATCTTTCGTGGCTGCTGCCTGGGATGCATGTGCTTAATAATTAATTATTATTAGGGGTCCATAGCTATCACGCAGTGCACACATATGCAGCAAGGAGCGAAATCGCCATCCAAATTTCTTGGCGCCACTACCGGCTCCTGAATGCATATATAATATCCTTGCCACACTTCTCCTATCCTCGCGGGCTGCGGCTACTAATAATCGGACGGGCCTCTGGTAGCGAGCCGCACACGTCGGCGGCCTGATGCGACTGTCGATGGAATTACTTAAACACATCATGGCCTGGGGTGAGGCGATCGACTGCGGGGTTTGGGGTCGGCAATATAATAAGAGACTGACCGAGGAAAAGCATACAGAGATAAACCTGGCGAAAGTTCGCAAGAGACAGAAAGATAGAGATCTAGAGAGGTGTGTGTACAATACGAGAAGATCCCTACAACCCCAACCCTGACCCCAATTACATGTTGAAACCCTAGCTCTAATGGCCTCTGATTAATATTACATATATATATATATTAAAGAAAGAAACAAATAAATATATATATTTATTTATTTATTTGTGCCAAGCAACCCTGAAGTCCGAGCACCTTTCAAAATCTGCGAAGGCCGAAGCGATCCCAGGGGTCACAGGGCTTGAGGATAGAGTTCATACTGTATAACAAGAATCGAATATCTCGTGTAGTTGAATAAGACTTCCCAGGGGTTCGGGCGCTAGGGGCACACAGAATTCAGGTACAACATGTACAAGCATCAGATGACTCTATCTAGCAACCTTCCCGGGTTTGTCATGGCCCACAAACCTCAGCCCTAAACCCTAAACCCCAAAACCTAAGCCCTAAACCCCAACACCGAAAACCTAAGCCCTAAACCCCAAAATCCTCAGCCCTAAACCCCAAATCCCAAATAAAAAAACAGCCCTAAACCCGAAACCCGCAAACCTAAGCTCTAAACCCCAAATACCAAAAACCCCAGCCCTAAACCCCAAACCCGCAAAACCAAGCTCTAAATCCCAAATACCAAAAAAAACGGCCCTAAACCCCAAACCTGCAAACCTGAGCTCTAAACCCCAAATACCAAAAAGCCCAGTCCTAAACCCCAAACCCGAAAACCTAAGCCCCAAACCCCAAATCCGGAAACCGAAGCCCAAAGCCGAAACCTTTTACTAGAACATGCAATGAGACCCAGCAGTCGCTTGATGTAAAGTGTCCTAGAACCGTCGTGACAAGCCGCTGGACAGTCATCGGCAGCGATCGGCGAATCGTCAATGACCTGCAAAAAGGGTTTGGGCTGCAGCAGTGGACCGAGATTAGGGAGCAATCCAATGCCTCGACATCCAAATTTTCGGGGGCACCAGGAACCTGCGAACGTATGCTCTAAGTTGCTAGGGGAACCAACAGCTGATCCAGATTCGCGGGCTGAGCAGGCGTTGCCAGCAATCGACTATCGATATATATATATATAGAGTTAAGAATTAAAGCCGGGGACTGGATTAGGGAATTATCGAATGCCTCCGCATCCATATGCAGAGCTGCTCCGGCTTCGACTTCGGGGGCACCAGCTGCCACCGATGTAGTAACCTGCGAACTAGGATATAGTATATAGCCGGGGACAAGAAGGGTTTAGGGAATTGTAGAATGCCTCCACGTCCAAAGCTGCTCCAGCTTCGATTTCGGGGGGACCAGCTGCCCCCGATGTGTTTACCTGCCGACAAGTTGTATGCTTCGAATTTCGAAACTTATAATATATTTTAAATAGAAAGGGCCTCCATGTTGTCATCGATATCATTGGCCTGCCATGCGAGAAACCTACATATATATATATATATTCGAAAGCCGAAATGAATTGCACATAGCCTCTGCATCACTCACTACACTGTCAATTTCGAAGATCTCGGGCCCGTCCAGCTCCTTCAAATTTTCACTGCCGTGTAGAGTTAGTGGTCATACTACTCGAGCTTTAACGGGCCTCATCCGATACTTCGTCGAGATCGCCAGCAGCTGTACCCTGCCGCCAGTGTCAATTCAAGCTCCGCCCAATCACATCATAGACGGTGCCATGCCTCAGACGTCGAACCAATCGAGCTCGAACTCGATCTCCGCGCCGGAACACAAATTCCGTTCACACGGAAGTACATTGTTTTCAATGCTGCGATTTCCGCAGTCCTGCAGCAGACTGCACGCATGCATGCATGAGTACTGTGCTAGCAGCTACCATGCGGTGGCACACGGTCCTTGCAAAAGGAGTTCTGTGGATAATGGCACACAGATAGGAGGCTAGCCATTTCAGGCGTGTTCCATAGACGTCTGACCATTCCTGCATACATCTTGCATCCAATACGGTACGATTATTTATTAGCTGTATGCACAATCGATATCCCAACCTTGAGTTTTCGCCGGCTGGCTTTCGTCTTGACAAACCCATTGGTCCAGAAGCCGTAAGCACAGGCAACATAGAGTACAGCTGCCTAAGTAGACCAACACATGCGAGGAAAGCTGAGCTCATATTCGAAGTGAGGCCCCGGCTCTGTGTTCCTTGCACGAGATCAAATTCGGGTGAGGCAACGTCACACCTTTCAGCAGAAAAACGACATACCGCTTCATGATCTCGTAATTGATGGGGTCAACGAGGTCGCATTCCGCAAGTTTCACCTCGTACATTGTTAGCAACGGATGGGCCTGAGCTATTCGTCAGGCATGATTATTATATATTGCAGCCGCACCATCACGAGTAGACAAGCTAAGACTCATCCTTCTCTCGGAGATCAGCCAACCGTTTTTCAACTTCTGGCCGTAGGATCTCCACAATCTTCATCGCAGTATCCTCGTCATGTTTATGCACACCCATGCCGCACATGAATTCGAAAGCACGAACTCACAATTTATTCAGAAAAGGCTCCGTCACGAAAAACCGTACTGGCCGTAAAACCTGGGTACCGGACGTCTTGACCCCATTCCATGTCCGTTCCGAAGCCACCGCCCGGAAAGGCGCCGGCTTGGAATTTTCCAGCGATGCATCGCGATCGGTGGTTTTCGACATGTCGGAGCGTCTAGCAGGCTGCACTTAAACTAATTATGCGCACACTTCTTGCAAAAGCCTGCATGCAGAGGCCTAGAGTCCAGAACACTGGCTCACGAAGCCATTTATTTATAATCTAGACCAGTACTAGCACTGTGCAGAACGCTCGTTCGTGAAACCTGTGTTTGAGCACGGCGTATACACATTAATATTAATTAATATAATGCACCATCGAAAATCTGCTGCACATGTACACATGTACATGTACAGCTAGCGGCAGGCCAGGCTGGGAGGCACCTTCCTTCTGCTTGAATTTCACGTGGTGGATGATGCCCAAAAGGCCAGGCATGGCACAGCAAAACTTGCAGCTAATTGTGCGGGCAGACCCTTAAAGATCTAGAGCTCTGATCTCATTCCGAAATTCACACGATACGAGCAGCTCAACCGTACGGGCTGAACATATGGAACCTTCGAAGTTCAAGCGCTTTGAATATATATGATCATGGTTCCGAAAGCCAACCGTACGGGAACCGAACTTTGCCCCTGAGCCCGAGTTGCAGCAGCGACCATCGCCCCCACTACACATGCATGCAGAATCCGAAGCCTGATCAGAAAACGAATTTCGGGCTGTGTACATGTACACATACATGATATTATATAATAATATGATAGATAGATAGATAGATATTATATATATATATATATATTTGCTCACATTAAATTTCACTGCCGAGGTTTGGGTTTTATATTAATATTATATACCCAAAGCTCAGCAGCGAAATCATAAACCACGGGCGTGTTGACTTAGATTTTGCGGACCGGTTGCCGTCCAAACTTGCGAATTTGGAACGATTGCGAGCTATGATCAGGATCCCGGAGCTGATGTAAGCGCTTGAGAAGCCGTTTTTTACAGCGATCGCTTTGCTTTATGCAGTTTTCTTGCTACGTGTCTTAAGTAAATCACCAAAAAGCCAAGTGAGTGAATAGACACAGGTGCTCCCTTGGACAAAAAAATGCAAGTATTGTCCATGCACACACTCGGAGCCTTTGGGGGCGCTTTGGGACATACTGGTTACGACTGTTGCCGCTACGCGCAGGGCGCTTGGTGGCATCTGGCGTGCGGGATGCTTCCGCGAACGGTGCTCGAGGGGCATACGTTGAAGGCTCGACAAGGTGAAAATATCTGCGAATACACATTCCACGACGTTGTCGCACAAGGGGCCGCAGATCAGCCACCACCCAAATCTTCGCACCAGCACATTCATGCTCAGGGGCTGCACCATACCTCCATGTTGCCCTAAACCCTAAGTCCCGACTCAATCCCCATTCCTAAGGACGACCCCCAAGATTGGCCCAGAGCCCTCTTCTGAGTCGGGCCTCTTTGTCGGAGACTGCTCCATGAGGGCTACCTTTGGAGGCGTCAACAGGACCGGGAGACTCCGCAAGTCTGGTGAGAAGTAGCTTACCAGACTTATAAGTATACTCATACAGATGTACTTACCCATAGGCTCCTAAGTAGCTCCTTTTTGTGGCTTATGTTTAGGATCCTAGAAGGTAATCCGAAAAAGGAACTACTTAGGGGCCTGTGGGTATTCATCCGTTTGAATTACGAAATCCCGTCGCCCTTAAAGTCGACACTAAAAAAACACAGTACAGGATCCCACGAAAAGCGTAACGAAAGCCCTGTAGAACCATAATAAGGGTCGTCGACACCTGATGATGAAAGTCCCTACAGCCAAGCCAGCGAAAACCTAGAGCCACCCTAAACCCTAAACCCTGAAACCTCAAACCTAAAACCCTAAACCATAAACCCTAAACCCTTAAACCCTAAACTCTAAAACCCTAAACCCTAAAACCCTAAACCCTAAACTCTTAAAGCCTAAACCCTAAAACCATAAACCCTAAGCTCTTAAACCCTGAACCCTAAAACCCTAAACCCTAAACTCTAAAACCATAAACCCTAAAACCCTAAACCCTAAACTCTAAAACCCTAAACCCTAAAACCCTAAAACCTAAAGTCTAAAATCCTAAACCCTAAAACCCTAAACCCTAAACTCTAAAACCCTAAACCCTAAAACCCTAAACTCTTAAACCCTAAACCCTAAAACCCTAGACCCTAAAACACCCGATCCTTTCGGGGCTCTTTGGGCAGGTACCAAACCTCTGCCTCGCAAGAGCAAGTGGAAGTGGGACTGGAGCAAGCAGACCAGCAAGGAAGGCCCGATGTGTGGATGCGTTTTTTGAGGGTTTTTTCGGGAGCTTGGGTGCTTCGTTTTGAGGTTTGGCTTAGGGGGCTTGGTACCAGGGTTTAAAAGTTTAGCGGGTTAACCCCAACCCCTGCTGTAAACCCAGAACGGAACCCTAATCCCCTAAGCAGCAGAAAGACAAGTACAGTTGAACTTACCCCAAAACCCTATTCTACTTTTTTAGGCCATATATCCTAGCCTCCTTGTCCTAGCCCTTTAAAGGGAATCCTTACAGGAACCCCTATTTAAAACATAAAAGCCGCAGACCACAAAGCTTCGCCTAAACCCTAAACCCTAAACCCTATTCGGCATTGCCCACCCGAGCCAGGCTCATACGTTTGGAGCAACAGCTCCTGGCCGAGGACTTCGGACCTTAAGGGGCTAAGGGTTTAGGTTTGAGGGTTTAGGGTTTGGGGTTTTGGGGTTTTGGGTTTAGGTTTTGGGTTTAGGGGTTTAGGGCTTAGGGAGCTTAGGGATCCTCAAAGCCTAAAGTCTAAACCCTAGACCCTAAACCCGATCCCTTAACCCATAGCCCTATAGCTCCTAAACCTTTATCCCGGACTGTAAAGCTCGAAATCCTAAGCCCTACACTTAATTTCTCATTCCTAATCCTTAGGGTTTTATTCGGATGCTTTAGGGAGCCTCCCGCCTTGGGTTTCTTCGGGTTTCCTGCAGCTGCCTTAGGGATCCTTTTGAAGGTTCTTGTTAAGGGATTTTGTTTAAGTTACCACAATAAGGAAACCTCATGGTAACTGAAATTAAACTCCCTTAACGGGACCCCAGTTTTGGTTTCCTCCTGGCTTGCTCCCTCCACTCCATCAGCCTGCCTCTCAACATCGGTCAGGCTTCCAGGACAATGATAGCACTCATAGAAGCTACCAGCTATGTCAGACTTTAGAAGGCCGACGGCGAATATCATGACGAACTGTAGAGAAGATGTGGCCAGGATGCAGATTGCCGAATATGGAGGTCAGGATTCCATATTGGGGTTGATCTTACCCTTCAGTCCCTCTCTGCCAGGGAGCGGATGCGATTCTACGGTTCATGGTTCCGAATGGATCCCTCATGCTGCTAGCAAGTTGGCTTACTTCGGCTTCAGCGGGAGGTTTGTTCCCGAGAAGGCCCGATCTTTTAACGGCTTCAGTGGTGCTACCGAAACTTTTGCTCCATAACGCTTTTTTGCAGTTCAACAGCCAGAGACCCCCGGACGGGTCGTGATATCACCGGACTGACAGCACTTCGAACAGCTAGACACCCTTTTTCGCGCTACGCCTCGACGCAACCCTAAACCCCTAAAACCTTAACCCTGAACTTCTAAACCCCCAAACCTTAACCCTAAACTCCTAAACCCGAAAACCTTAACCCTAGACGCCTAAACCCCTAAAGCCTTAACCCTAAACCCCAAAACTCGAAAACCCTTAACCCCAAACCCGAAGAAGCCTTCAGGTGCGCGAAGAAGCCCTAAGAAGCCTTGAGGTGCCCGAAGAAACCCTAAGAAGCCTTGAGGTGCCCGAAGGAGCCGTTATGTAATCTGGGGAACCTCTCAGGAGCAGATAGGCTTGGACCTCGAGCGGCGGGTGCAGACCCTGGAGGCTGGCTGCCTTCAAAGAACCCTGAACCCCTAAGCCCTAAACCCTACATCCCTAAACCCCTAAACCCTAAAACCCTAAACCTTGAACCTTAAACCCCTAAACCCCAAAACCCCAAAACCCCAAAGCCCCAAACCCGTAAACCCTAAATCCCTTCACCCTAAACCCGAAACCCTAAACCGAAAGGAACCCTGGAAGGGTTCCCAGAAGGGTGCCAAAAAGGGCTCAATGAGGGTTCTATGAGGGCTTGAGGCTTGAGGGTTTTAGAGTTGAGGGCCCAAGTCGGAGTGAGGATCGGCTTTGGTTTCGGGTTTTACGGCTTCTGGGTGTTCGGGGTTGGGGGTTTGGCCTTGGAAAGTAGGTGTGTTGCATGCTTGAGACGCAGTGAGCAGTAAAATGCCACTCTGCAAGCGTCGCAGAACCTTTGGGGTGCGGGGGGCCGACTTGGTTCAAGGACCTAGTTAGTGCTTATAAGGCTTCTGTGCTCAATTCAGGCTTCAGGTTCGGCCACATGTTCAAGAGCAGTGTTGCTTGAGCTGCAACTGAGAGTTAAGCACCGCTCGGGGCGTTTCGCGCAAGGTTTGCGAAGCCCAGGAAACACCTCAACCCTAAACAACCCCACGAGCCCCAAGTCCTCATCCCTAAACCGAAAGAAACTCTGAGCCCTTAGTCCTAGACACGGTGTGCGCTCCTATGGAGCGAGCAGCGAAAACACCCGAATGCCTAAAGCCCTAAACCCCTAAACCCCTAAACCCCTAAACCCTAAACCCTAAAACCCTAAGCCCTAAAACCCTAAACCCTAAATCCTAAACCTCTGAACTCCTAAACCCCTAAACCAAAGCCCTAAGCCGCCCCTAAAAAAGCCGGAGCTTCCAGGATGCCATCCGCCAAGAGCGTCTCCTAGCCGAGAAGCTGTCCCAGGCCATACGGGGTTTAGGGGGGTTTTCGGGTTTAGGGTTTA